CACACACACACACACACACACACACACACACGCGCGCGCGCGCACACACACACACACACACACACACACACACACACACACACACACACACACACACTGCTGCTGCTGCTGCTGCTTACAAGACGATATTGACTCTTGGATCTCGTTCTCGCTGGTTTGTGACACCTCTGTCGAACCATGGCTGATGTCGTCGTCGTCATCTCCGTGCAGCTCAGCGACCGGCGACATGGTTCGTGTGGACGCAGATCCAGTGCTCTCCTGCGCACGAGCACACACATATTTACATGTGGATATTGAGAATGGCTGCAGAGAGCGCGTACAGGCTGGTGATATCGTGCAATTGCTGTCAAGCACCCTTACCAGCTTTACCAGATACATTTAACGTCGTTTTTTTCCGAGAAATCATCTAATTCAAAATTACGCCTCCCCAACATTGTTTTTCGTGGATGCTATGCCGTATACGCACGTGTCGTCAACGTATACAAATGTCTGTTTTATTCGTGATAATTATACAGTTAATGATTCATGATTACTGTTCGATTCGTTATTCAGGCGCATACAGTATTCGAAGCATATCGTCAAGAGTAGATAAATTCAAGAATTCTTTAGTTTACCCTCTAATTCGCGTATACTTTATAACAGCCCAGTAAAACGTATAAACCGTCACGATTCATCGACTCCTCTGATTATACGCGAGCGAATATACTCCGTCAGTTTTTAATTTTTTTCCCATCCACCGCTCTATGCTTCCTGCTTCCACCATCCATTGCTCCCTTCCTGCATGCATTTAGGCGTTCTCATACCTGGTCTAGCTAACCGTCATCAAGCTAAGCAAGTGTTGCAACTTTGCTTCTTTTTTTGACAGGCGAAGTTTGGCTGTATAATATTACTATATAAACGCACGCACAAGTGTACACGGAGGCGTTGCGTACATGTTATAAACGCGCTTGCGAGCACAGACAGGCGGGCGTGCAGTTATACAAGCTCACGTAGGTACGCTGCACAGAGTAAGCAGAAGCGAGGTAATTCCACTACGCGAAACCTCGCAAAATTATTTTATAACCACAAAAAGCCAAGCCAGATTCGCACTCTTCGTTGTACGCTTACCCAACAACGCTCAAATAATTCATCAGTGTTGGCAACACTATACAAATAAACTGACAACAGCGCGCCTGTTGGTTATCCGGTTGGTTATCCGGCCGCTTTTACGCGTCTTTGTGGAAATTCGGTTTACAAGCACAATACGTTGCCTGAACTCTTTAATGGTTACCTTACCATATAAGTACGCACGTGCGTAATCTCTGTCAAAGAAGAGCAGCAAAGAGACTGACTGATTTATATGTGCTGAATTTCAAGGGGCTAACTGTGGAACGACCTGTCCCCAGAAACGACAAATTGCTAAGCTAAAATAAAGATACAAAGATATCCTGCTTACCAACTACACTTTACAATAAGTCTACTCACAGTATCAGGAGCGCACTCAATCTAGTAATACTCCCTCAATCACAACTTTATGCTATTATTGAGCATGCCGGCTATTACTCAAGTTTCTCGTCTTTGTGAATTATTGTGTTTGCATAAGTGTCGTGTATATTATGCCTTCATATCGGCGATGTTCTATTCTCGGGTAATATAAGCGTTACCTTGGTCATTGTCCGTCTCTGTATGTAGGCCTACATTATACGTTGCTGAGTATACATTACACGCAAACACACTTATCTGAATATTTATCCTACATCAAAATTTTCCAGATATTTAGTTCGCGTGATTTCTTAACTCTGAAAATACAGTTTCTGGGATGTCTTTTACAAGCGTATAGAAAATTTATCACATTGGTTTGCCATTTCTCGCGCTGAGTTGAATAAAGGTTGCTTGGCATTATTACTCTCAATTATTTGCTCTGATTTGTTTAATTACTACATGTTTGTAACTTTACCATTTTTTTCTGATTGCGTCCTGGCTTGTTAGTTATCAGAGATCGTGCTAGGTAGGCGTTGATGAGCGCGCCTGCTAGTTGGTTTTCCAGCCGCATTATTCGTTTTTACGGAAAGTCGGTTGTGTTTGACATTGTTGTTCCTGCGCGCGTGTGTGCGCGCATGCGCATGTGCGCGCGCGCCTATATCACAATGACAGCGTATGACGCAGACTCGCGAAAACACAAGCATTGGTACGAAACCCCCGCACTGCTACTGACTATCCGACTCTGTAACCTCTCACAGCATCAGCGATCTCCTGGGTACGTTCATTAGAACATTGATCCACGTTGCGCGTGTTTACATTTGCACGCATTGTATCCACGTGTACGAATGGATAGCGAGTGACTTACTATACCTACCGGCTGCACTAATGAAATATTGTCAATCAAACATACATGACAATCAGAATGAAAACGTTACTTGTGCTGAACCGCAGTTAATTTTTTTTAAACCTTGCATAGATCAAGGTAAATTATAGTTGATGGTCTGCTGGCATATATCCAGAAAATCATACCTCATCATAATTCTTGCCAAGAGAATGGTACCAAATCCGAACCAGTAGATCATATGTCTTGTCTCGATTCAGCAGCGATCTAAACACGTACTGTGGATATAAGTAGGCGAGTGTAAATTATACTATTCGTAAAACATTTTTAGGGTTCGATTTTGCCGCTCCTATAATACTAACACCTATAGTATTCGTTTACAGAGAGGTTCTAGACCTGATCACGAGACTGATGTTCGTATCATATATAGGCCATGTCACACGTTAGCGGGTTCAAGCAGAGCGTGAAACTGTAACAGTATAGTGACTGTCGTCTATACGATGGGATTTTTTATGTAGTAACAATATAAGAAATAAAGCAACGGTTCTATTCGAGGCCGACTACAGAGTAATTGATCGCAATGATAAAAGCAGATATACGAGGCCGATGCGAAGGTAGCTCGGCTATTGCACGCATGTACGAAAAAACTGCCAGAAACATCGGCAAATGATCAATTTAATCGTACGGCACTCTTCTGCTGGTTTGTATTTCATTATTTATGCTCGCGCTGTCACTGTATACCCGTCCTCTGTCTGCTCTTCTCCCCGTCTACCTTTATTACTCTGCGTGAATATATTGATTGCACGCCACTCGTGTACATAGGGCCTACCTGTTCTGCTTTTACGCGAAATACGGGTTTTTACGCTATTCTACCTGTGAGACGGTGCGCAGTCGTGGCGTGATTACCTTTTTCTTCGCCGTGTCTATTCGGATGGCGTTTGGCAGTATAAGCACAGTTCGCTCTTTTGTGATGGACGCGACAGACGCGGCCGGTATGACAATCTGATATTTGATATCAAAATAGCCATAATCATATATATATATCAAAGAAAAGATTACACTGACACAAATGGATTCGTAACTAGTACCTAAATTCCAAATGAATAGAACATAGCGTCATAAATATATATAAACTATATAACCTAAGAACTTTTCTACTATATCTATATATGTATATATATGTATATATATATATATATATACACATATATATACATATATCGATATAGTAGAAAAGTTCTTAGATTGCACGATATTTAGTAGATATATTTAAAAAACGAATAATCCGAAATTTAGTTTTACACAAGCGCTTTCATCTTTATAGAATCTTCAGTTGAAAGAAATTTTCCCGAAGATTCTATAAAGATGAAAGCGCTTGTGTAAAACTAAATGTCGGATTATGGGCAACTAAATGTTACTTTATGGGCAACGTATCTTCATCTCTCTGCCCAGAGGTACATGTATATGTACGTGTACATGTACGTGTGCGTGTATGTGTACGTGTACGTGCACGTGCCTATTGTGTACGGTACGTGTACGTACCTATGTGTGCGTGTACGTGTACGTGTACTCGTATGTGTATGTGTATGTGTATATGTATATGTATATGTTTCATCGTCTCAGTTTCTTTACTCTGTTTCATAATATTCGTTGTCTCCCACCATGGACATCACGATCTGCCTCACATGTGCGCCCCACACCATTTTTACGATGATTATATACGATTACTACTAGAATAATTCAATTAAAAATTAAAAATTAAAATTTACTGTAATTTTACAACTGTTGGTGTCGTTACGACCAAGGCGTCTATTATCGCCTTTGAGACCAGGTACATCGCATTAAATTCATGACACCATACGGTATGCAAGCCCACGTCTCCAGCGGCTAATCCGAATCAACAAACCATTTCAAGGTGCTGACCGCCTGGATGCAATGCCGTTTAATATACATTGTCGTGAAGTTTCGTACATTATTTAGGAGTATATATATCGGTACCATAGTGAGATATGATAGTGTCGCTAATCTGATGCGCGTGCTGAACGTATGGCAGGGTAGCTTCCCGCGATCTCTCACTAAAAAGATGTCTGCCACAGCAACTATTATTATTGCATATGGCATCGTAAGGCGCGCGCGTTTTCAATAATAGGGCGCTGCTGAATAAATTGATTTTTCATAAATGTGTTATAACAGTCTCTAGTAAATAGTTATTTAGGTAACAAATGACTAGTCGATGGCATTTATCGGAGCAACTATAGTCAGATTGCTTCAGGCTACGTCGAGTTTTGAAGGTTTGGAAAATCAATATTGCTATTGATGTTCGATTTCTGGCTAGCTACCATACCCTATCAGCACACCGCTTTCTGCGTACTCTTGTCATTTACGGTATACGTCTCCTGAGTTCTGTTACCAAGGATAGCCCGCGTGAAACGCAATACCTTGGTTTTGTAACCGATGATGTTGGAGTAAAAGCAGAACCAGTTTTTGGACACATAGATGGTTCCTTGCAGTAAAATTTCAGCATCGTAGGCACAGGAGTAATCTACAAATATACAATGACAATATATAAATATCTCAAAGATTCGAACGTATACTATTAAGCTAGAATTGACAGTAGCCAACATGTAAATACACACATCCTATACGCGTAGAACTCTTCTCTCTAGCCAGTAGCATATAAGCAGGGCTGATATAAGCTAACTACATTATTGTACAGATTCAATGCAGATGTGAATACGTACAGTTAATCAGCCGTTCGTCTATAGGAATGGCTTTGAAAACACGGTGAAATTTTGTGTTCCTGGAATGACTGCTTAACTTGTTAGTTGGATCCTACAAGTAAAATAAAGTCATGCGTGACTTATCCACCATTACATGGTGCACAAGATATAGATGTAGCATAAAATGACAATAAACAATCACCATCGACACATAAGCACACAAACACAAACACGCACGCACGCACGTGAGCACGCACGCACGAACGCCCACATGCATACACGTTCGCGTGTGTGCGTAAAAGAAAGGTGGATACAAGAATACTTTACCCTCGAGGGAAGAGAAACAGAGGAACTGAATTTGCTGCCTAATGATATGCTTGACTCGGCTGATTTAATCGATAAAGACGTAGTATCGTACGGGACGGAAATTGACCTGAAAGTATCATACAAAAAATATTTTAGAAATATTTGAGTTTATTTGTGTAGATTAAACGTTATCAGCGCGTAACATGCCCCACCCATCTCTCAAAATTACTTTAATGTCAGAAGGGGTGTGCGAATGTGTGAAGGTGCGGTGGCGCGAAAATATGTGACTGCGATTGTCATGAAATCTTTCAAATATCTATTCAAATGTCCACGCACAGTACATCATTACACGAGCTGTTGACCCGTGTTTAATACACGCACATTATCACTTATCATTACATAGCTGTCGATGAATTCACTGTCATTTATTCACACAGAATGTGTTTGAACGAATATATAGCGAGCAGACGTCTAATGGCAACGAACAGATATCGAGTAATCTCAACAAACCAGCGTAGGCGTATATACACATAGGCGTTTACTCATCATGCAAACACACACACATGGTCATGCACGCACGCAGGCGCGCGCACACACGCACACATACACATGCATACACACACCGACAGCATGTGTATCTGTGCGTGCGTGCGTGCTAGCGTACGTGCGTGCGTGCGCTTGATATAGGCCGTCATGTACATACAGTTTGAATTTCGCTACCTTTCTTGGCTGCTGGTTGAAGGCGCGCTCTCGTATCTAGATTGCCAATCAAGGCGATCAGGAATGGAAACTGACTTCCCTCTGTGCTCCGAGAGAGGACTTCACATTCCAAACAGAAAAGCACCGAGAGTTACGCTCTAGTGTAACACATATATTCCTACCTCAGTATAATAAACATAATGTCTATATTGCAATATTTATATCATGCTTCGTTGCGTAGCTGCAAAGCGCATAGCGCTACACATAGCATAGTGTATATAAAGTATAAAGGAGCTAAATCCGGCGGGAGATACGAAAGATATGTGACCGATATATTCAGTCCCGTAGGCATTTCGTGTGATACTATATATGTCATAAGTGTTGCAACGGATTGCCTTTTGTTTTGGGTTAGACCTGATTGCCGTGAGGAAGATGCCACAGAAAAATGTACATTTTAATTCCCGTCTGTGCTACACAGGTTAAGGTAAACCCTGGGCAACAGTACCGCTGTCCAAAGACAAGCTACGTTTTCTCCTTGCGAAGCCAGACGTGGGTTTTACGTTGTTTAATAACAGTGTCATTGTAATGCGGTGACGTGGGGGTAGGGGGGGGGGTCGCTGGACGTACGCAAGATACCACGCCTGTATAAATTGAATGACTTGAACAACAAAATGTTGCGGTCAGCTGTAGATATGTGATGTTTATTGAATAGGCCCTAGTCTACACATACAGACAACATACATACACCCATACAATCTACCATACTAATCAGACGCGATATGTAAGAGATTTATATATATATATATATATATATATAGTAGCATATATATAATATGTGTGTGGGTAGGGTTTACGTTTCGGGAGGCGGAGTCGGAGCTATTTAATTATCTAGGTAACAAAGACAAATATCAGAGTAATTTTTTGTGATTCGAGAATAAGACGCCAACTCGGAATGAGAGAACCCAAATGCGATTTAGACTAACTGCATTTGCGATTAGCTAACTGAGCGCATAGGACGTTTTTGCTGGAATAATGATATAGAACCTTCCCTCAACGTTTCGGGAGTTTTCCCCTCGTAATTCTCAACGCCAGTAAAAATACAAAGTCACTACAGATATTATGCAAATCAGCACTATTAATAGCACGTACGCCTAACGGACGCACGCACGGTCACGGGCAAATACCACGAGCACACGCACAACGACACACCAACCAACCAAGACACACAACACACACACATACATGACACAACCGCCACAACACACCCACACACACAGGCACAACACACCAAACACAGACCACACACCACACACACACCACCACACAAACCCCCGCACACACACACAGCACACCACACCACAAACAACAAACAAGACCACACACCACCACACACACCACACCACGTAGTGCGCGGCACACACAGTTACTGGTACGAAACGTGCAAAATCTTATATATATGCAGAGTACAGTCACGCCTTTGGCTAGTAACTGTTAGGCCTAGTATTACTAGGTTACTGAGCGCTAGCGCAATGAGGCAGTATGAACGGTACAAACAGTAGAATAGTACATCCATAGAATCACGCACGAATACGAATAGTTGTGGTTATGATTAAGATTTACAGAAACAACCATTTAACTACCATCGGCATGCCTGAACGTATAAACAGATACATAACCAACAATTTAGATACCATATCGACATGGCTGAACGAGAAACTGATACATAATCATGAATTTGAAAGAACCAACCACAATTAGCACTAGGTCTGCAGTGTTAATAGTTAGAGACGATGATCATTACGGCTGTTGAAGATCAACAGACTGCACTACTACTGCTGCTACTTGCACATCGCCAGATCATAACCGCTTGCACGATCTAAGAACCGAAACATTAGTAGAGTTTATCCGAAACCTTTAGAATGGGGACATGATTTTTGTGATGCTATAAGTGCTGTGATTATATAATGAGTATTTCCTTTGATACGAATTGATATTTATGCCTAGTTTGGAGAGGAAATGCACACGTGGCACGCCAAGGGTATCCGGTCATGGCGCAATCTAGATCTTCTAGCGAAATCCTCATCAGCTAATTGTGCGAATCTCAATAGGGATTCCTGTTAACCTTTCGAACAACACGGGCAACGAAAAATGACACTCATACGCATTGATCCAACTATCACGAGGCCCGTGGTTATCTAGTTATATGGCATATGAGTCATATCCACGTGCTCGGTGTACGGTAGCGACATCGTTCAACGGAGGCACCCAGATTTGTTGTCTGTAGTTATAATGAGAGTCATGAGCGATTAAGCCTTTCAGTTATTTAATAATACTACTGCGCAACAACTATCATTATTGCCTCGATTGCTTGCATAAATAATTCGCAGAAAACTTCCAGTGGCGTTCACATCCAGAATGAAGCCATTCCGTGCGTTTACTATGTTACACCCATGTTCACGTTAACATATACTTTCTGAAACGAAAAACGTCAATGTTTTGGCTTAATGGCTGTAACCAGACAGTTCGAAAGGACAGTCATTATTCACACAACTGTGCGAACAGGTGAGAGCATGTGCGCACGCACGCACGCACGCACAGACACACATGCACGCACACACATATCGCTTACATGTATGACGTAAATGAAGTGCTGAATATACGTTAACTAGCATGAATGCGTGCGATTATGTACCATGATTTTTGTATTAGACGTTTGTACATTTTCCTGCCCATAACTATATGTGTTCCGGGCATAGCTGGGTGGGCCGCATGAGCCCATAGTTGCCTCCCTAGTTACCAGTGCGTGAGCAGTCAGTCGTAGCTGCTTAATTGTTCGCGCGTGACTACTTCTGTCAGCCATTACTCACCTCTCACCTAATGTTTATCGTCACCTAGCAACAAGCTTTCATTAATATACGATGGCCAACCGTGTTTACTGCTGGCGCATTAATGGCGTTAGACATATAAAAATAATTCCGTAGCACAACAAAAATAATCCGGATAACGAGTGAGTACGCATGGTAAATACAGGGCTGTAACTAAGCACGAACATCTTGTCCGTAGAACATATGACATGCCTATCATCCTCAAAATCACTCACCAGTTTGATGCTTCCACGTCGGCTGTGTGCGATGCTGTAAATTTCGGTGAAGAGCGAGAGACCTGCTCTTCGTCAGTGGTGCCAGCGGTGGTTGAACTGCCATTCGTTCTGGAACAAGAAGAAACAAACCACAATAAGTCGTGTTCCTGATTTCCAACTTTTTATCGTGTGCTTTTTCTTCTTCTTCTTCTTCTTCTTCTCATTTTTCTTCATGTTGTTGTTGTTGTTGTTCTTCTTCTTCTTCTTTAACTACTTCTTCTTCTTCTTATTCTCCGTTTGCCTGTAAACCGTTATATAGAAACCTAAGTGCGTGCCAGCCAGAGTGCATGTGATAGACATAGAATACAAAAGATAGTTATCATAAGTCACGTAAATGATTTCGTAGGTAATGTTTCATGAAGTCACCTGAAGCGAGCGCACGATATCGTGTTTTCAGTGTGGAGAAGCGTTTGCCCATTGTCAACAAAGGGATCACTCCGTCTAGCTGCCAGGCAATACACTTGCTTCGAAAGCATAATTCTATTTGGTAGGAAATCAAAATAGAAATAGCCCCATTACTACGCTAAGCTTTCAAGCTTGTTTGTTTGGACGGAATGCTGCTACTGTCAACTGTAACCATAGCATTTCAATGGTATATGACGCCTCTGATGGCGTGACTTAATAAACGGCTAGCAATCACCTGATAATGTAGGCGCATAGCGCCTCTCAATATAGAATGCCAACCAAGCTTCATAGGTCGGCGCGTTACAACTAGTCTATTAATGCAGAAGGCAGGTAAAAAACATTTGTAAATTCTCCCACTCCCGCTTTATCTAACCGCTTTCCATGCAAGCGGGTTTTCTATTCGCAGCCAATATTATTGAATAAACAATCTGTTGAAAATCTCAAATATAAGTTCTCAATAATATCTCAATAAAAGTTCCCACTAAACAATAGCGATCTGCCTATTTCCAGGAACACGAGAGTATTATATAACAGCAGCCCTGATTTCAAACTGTCATTCACCTATGAAAACGAGTATATACGCGGGTGCGTGCGTATGTATGCTATAACACGCTTTCATTAATCTGCCACCGATGTATTTCGGTGGAAAAATGGCTTATTTACTATGGGTTCTATATGTATATTTATGTATACGGTGACACGTTACATAATATACCACGATATGACGAACGTAGTTCCAGCTATTGGCAAAACGAAACAAAAATAAGGTATGCAAATGGAGGAGACTTGCGCACGAGCCCGGGTCCACCATATTTGCTGGACACACGTCCTTGACGGGTTTCGAGATGGCGCGTACAGGTAGGCTAGCTGGTTTATATATGACACGTAAGTGTTCGAGATTGCTATCGTGGTGATGTGTCCACCACAACACCAAACGACCACTCAATGTTTATCAGCATGTGATTACACTCAGTGCGTAATCTATCACCTGTAGGTGGTATCCCACACATAAAGAGCGACTAAATGTATACGCAGTCATCCATGCAATAATTTACGTCACGATTCAATTCGAGTATAAAACCAACAAGCCTTGTTGGCTGTAGGTCAAGTATTAGTGAAATTGGATACGTTTAGACGTTTTAATCCGTATATATATATATCGGCCTATATTATTTATATCACTATTAAGAAAGCTTCATAGCATTTCCCTTGCATGTACGGTACAAGAATTCGTGAGAAGAAACATAGATTAGGAAGACCATATTAAATGATTGCTTCAAACACACACAGACAGATATGTAGTAGATGAATGAGGAACTAAAATATCATATTACAGAAAAATCAACAATAGTGGATTGCACAAAATACGCGTGATTGTTCTTATTCTAAACACGACAATGCGTTCGTCTTACCGGGAATTGTTTTTCGAATACATCAGATGCACAACTTCAATATACGAGTGATGCCAGTATAGGTCGTTAACTTGACCACTATTTACCCAGTTCAGACGGATTTACGTTGAACACCAAAAATTCCACTTATAGTTCCTAGTTGACTCCCACGGTCGTCGGTGTATAGCTTAACTGGTATCTGTAAATTATGTACAGCTTGGATAGGCTCACCTGATTCAAGCGAATCAGGATATCTACCCTCTGCAGACGTGTGTCAACAATGAACGCATGCGCTACAGGACTTTGGAGTTTACACTGTGACGTCATACAAATTTCATATATATTATGCTCATTGATATAATGGGCTGATAATGAATCACACATGTCGAAAGTGATCGATAGGTTTCGAGAAAAAAACGATTTTCAAGTTAGTAAAGCTCAAGGGGTCGTTGTCGTATCAGGTACTACAGATATGTACCCGAGGTACATGTATACACAAAGTGTACCCTAACCCTAACCCTAACCCTAACCCTAACCCTAACCCTAACCCTAACCCTAAC